AGCAGGAGCCCAGAAAACAAGGATAAAACACTGGTAGGAAAAAAAAAACCTCTGGGAATGTGTGGGACAAGCACAATAAGAAGCTTTATATGGAGCACAGGTTTTCCAGAGGAGCTGCAGGGCTGATCCAGGCTCCCTGGAAGGCAATAGAAGGTCTTTCCTTGACTTCACTGGGTTTTGGATCAGCTTTGGAAATGGAGGAGAAGGGCCTGGGCTGGCAGAGGGAGTCAGGTTGTGGGAAACTGGGATGCAGCTGTGAATAGATGGAGGAAGCAACCAGGAGCTGGGGCTGGGCACAGACAGAGGCCTCATGGTCTTCTTGTATGTTGGAGAAAATTAACCTGCTGGCTTGGGCTGAAGCCCAGGGAGAAGAACATGGAGGAAGGCAAAGGCAGGTTCCTTTTGGAGATGTACCAAGAGATCTGTGGCTGCTCTGGTGGGAGCTGGGGGGGAAATACCACATCCCTGCCTGCCTGGGCTCCCAGGGAAGAGGATGTGGGCAGGGAGTGAGATAAATCTCTGAGCTGTTTGCTGAAGCTGTCCAGGCTGAGACAGAGGGAAAAGGAACAAAGAGAGATTTGAGGAACAACAAAATTATGTCTTTTAACTGGTTATCTCTGTAGCAGCTCCATGGGGAGCCCATGGGGCTGAACACAGGCCTATTGAAATGCAGGAGAAGCAGGTACCTGTGTGGCTCACAACTCCTGAAAACTCCTGTAGGTGCATTAGAACCTCTGCAAACCTGGCTCAAAGTGAACTACAGGACAAGGCAGAAGCAGAGAAGTGACCCAAACCCTGAGTTTTCCTGAGTTCAGCCTAGTGCCCAAGCACAAGCTATCATTTCACTTCCACTGATCAGCTTCATCTCACACAGGCAGGATTTGTGCAGACCCTCAGTGTAGGGGTGAATTTCACCTTTACCTGCTTCCTTCTTTTCATTAAGCAGACAGCACCAATATTCTAGTTATTAAATGCTGAGATAATACCAATATTCTGGTTATTAAATGCTGAGACAAGATCAATATTCTAATTATTAAATATGGAGACAAGACCAATATTCTAGTTATTAAATATTGAGACAAGACCAATATTCTAATTATTAAATATGGAGACAAGACCAATATTCTAGTTATTAAGTGTTGAGACAAACTCATCATCCAATTTTACCCCCCATGAGCATGAGAAGTGCTGACTTAACAACTGCACAACATTGAGGGGTTTCAAAAAGCCAGGAGCAGCTTTCCTGCCAGCTGGGACCTCTTTGACCAGCTCCTGGGGAAGAGGCCACAATCAGACTATTGGGAATCACTGAAGCAAGGGCAGAAGCATCAAATGCTTCCCAATTCACCAAGGGAAATTACGTCCAATTCCCTTTCAAGTCTACCCAAGAGCTCCAGCCCAACCCATTCCCTCCTGGATGCCAGCTCTTTGTCCAGGAAGGAACTCTCCTCTCTGCACTGTTTGAAACCCCAGCTTATTAGGAACATGATTGTAGGAGATCAGTGGGGTCAGTCCATGGTTTTGAAGTGCATCACACAGCAAGAATGAGCTGAGATAAATGCTTGGATGGCAGCCACTCATTTTTCAAACCAGTGGTTCACATTTATTGCTCTTAATTATTTTTGGAAGGCAAAGATGCAGACCAAGGATGCCCAGATTTTTTCCACAGCCCCAACATCTGAAAGACCAAATTGTCTACCTTTTAGGCTGAGCTTTATCCTTAGGGAACTTAAAGACACCTACATCATGACACAGCCCCTCTCTGGGGACTGAACACCTTGGCAGGATATGTCACAACCCTTCCCACTGATCCTTCAGGAATTCTTTGCCTGATGTGCTCCTTCATAGCCTGAGATGGCAACACACTTTGGTCTGGAATGTGCCTTTTCTTACAGAGAGGAAGCTGGCTCTGTCCCCCAGCTAGAGTGGCCCAAAGAAGCTGCTACAAAAAACATTCCTGTCCCAGGAGTGTCAGGTTGCAGCTCTTTCCTGGGGAGGTTCAGCTCCTGAGGCAGTTGGAGGAGACAGAAGGTCCATCCAGAGAGGTGTCCTTTGTCCCAGCACAGCGCCAGCTAAAACCAGTCTGGTTGTAACGGTGCATGGGAGAGGCACAGGATTGTGGAATGGGTTGGGTTGGAAGGGACCTGAAAGCTCATCCAGATCCAACCCCCTGCATGGGCAGGGACACCTCCCACCATCCCAGGTTGCTCCAAGCCCCATCCAACCTGCCCTTCAACACCCCCAGGGATGGGGCAGCCACAGCTTCCCTGGGCAACCTGGGCCAGGCTCTCACCACCCTCACACCAAAGAATTCCCTCCTCATCTCCAACCTCCAGCTCCCTCTTCCAGTTTAAAGCCATCACACCTTGTCCTAGCACCCCATGTCCTTCTAAAATGTCACTCCCCAGTTTTCTTGTAGACCTCTTCATATTGACTCAAGTTCTGATAAAGACAAGACCTCAACCAGAGCTCCTGAGTCCCAGTCCCACAGTGGACAAGAGGTTTGATGGAAGCCATCAGACCTCTGGCAGACAGGTGCCCTTTCCCTCTCTCAGTCCCTCTCCCTGCCACTAGATCCTGCTCCAGGGGTTCTCCAGAGTCCATTCAAACCCAGCATTCCTCATGAAGAGCCCAAGGTTTGCACTGGCACACCCTGGAGCTGGCTTGGAGGCCAGACAACACGTCTACTCCACACTTAGACCCTCAGTAAAAATGTCCTGCTTCTGCCAAAGCTGAGCACACCCTTCAACACTCAATTCCTTCAAGAAATGGTTTGTAAAACACATCTGCACTGATGATTGAAGTCAGCACAGACATTGTCACTCATGAGGACCGTTCTGTCCTGAACGAAAGCTCAGAGCCCAGTTGTTTGTAGCTCCCAGTCTGTCCCAGTATGCCTGGAGATTGGGCAAAAGCTAAAGGGAAAGTGTGAATTTACAACTTCAGGCTTCACTGTTGAAACCCACAACTTTTTAACACGAACCTGAGACAGAAAAAGTTGTCAGTAACACATGAAAAGTTAGTTATGGCAGTAAAAATTCTCCTGCAGATTTATATAGTTATATAAACATAAGTAATATAGTTATATAAGCAAATATAAGTAAATATCATTATATGCTTATATAAATATAAGCAATAAATGAATATATTTATGATTAAAATGCACTGCTAATATAAATTTATATGAATATACTGGAGTAGAGAGCAAGATCCAGTCCAGCTCCATGTCCTCTGCAAAACCTGCTCCATTTCATTCATTCTAACATCTGAAAAATCAAACCTCTCTAAAGCAGCTCTCCTTTTTAAAGCTGTGGCCACAAAAAGGGCACAATACTGCTTTATTTTTGGCTGGCTACGTCAGTGTGATCCTTTTTCTAGCATAGATTTTCAAGATGCTGTTGGGCAGACCCTGCTTGCTCACTTGTCTGCAGCCCCTTTGGTTTGGGATCATCCCACGCACCTCGAGCAAACATTCCTAATATGGATGGAAGGGGCAGAAAAGGAGCTGCTGGTGTTTATTCTGCAGATGTGATTCACAGATACAGAATTTCATGCACCTTTATGGTTTCTCTCAACCGTTCCCCTTCCACACAGATCACAGGGCAACCAGTAAGAGCTGAAACCCACCGTCAGCACCCACCTTCAGCACCTGCTTTACCTGAAACCTCTGCAAAACCCTCCCATTCCTCCAGCCACCAGTAGCACCCAGTTTCTATTGTAGCTTTTTACCAGCCAGGCCGTAAAAATACAACCCTGGGACCATCCCCATCCCCCTTCTTTGTGCATTTATCCCTTTTCCTTTCCCCAGTGAACAACTTGTAGGGAACTTAATCCAAAGAAGTCGCCGATACATCACGATCGCTGTGACACCAACTCCCCAGCAGGAACTTCCTCTTGCAGTAACAGTTTGTGACTGCAGGATTGTGCAACACCTTCAGTAAACACTTCCTCATCGAGGAACAAGGATAAAGCTGAACACCTCCCTCCCTCTCACCCAGTGCAGAGCTGAGGGCTGCAGGACACGGAGCACCCAAGCTGGACAAGCACAACGGCCATGACCAATGTTCTGCTGCTTGCTGCTTTGGTCCTACATTTTCTCCAACAAGGTATGGCTTTTTTCTTATAAAAAAACAAATAAATCCCTTATCAGTGGTTGCTATGGATCACTTCTTCTGGATTTTTAATGATTAACGTGTAGATAATAGGATAGAATCATAGAATGCTGAAGAACAAGGAATGACATTGTGTCCCCCCGGTGTCAATGCTCGGTCTGGTCTTGTTCAACATATTCATCAATGGTCTGGATGAGGGGACAGAGTGTGGCCTCAGCAAGTTTGCTGGTGACACCAAACTGGGAGGGGTGGTGACACTGCAGAGGGCTGTGCTGCCATCCAGCATGACCTGGACGGGCTGGAGAGCCAGGCAGAGAAGAACCTAATGAGGTTCAACAAGGGGAAGTGTAAGGTCCTGCATCTGGGGAGGAAGAACCCCATGCACCAGTATAGGTTAGGGGTGGGCCTGCTGGGAAGCAGTTCTGAGGAGGATCTGGGAGTCTTGGCAGCCAGTAAATGATCCATGAGCCAGGAATGTGCCCTTGAGGCCAAGAGGGCCAATGGAATCCTGGGGTGCATAAGGAAGAGTGTGGCTAAGAGGTCAAGGGAGGTCATTCTTCCTTTCTTCTCTGCCCACATCTGGAGAACTGGCTCCCGGGCTGGGCTCCCCAGTGCAAGAGAGACAGGGAACTGCTGGAGAGTCCAGGGGAGGGGGAAAAAGACAACTGGGGGATTGGAGCATCTCCCTTATGAGGAATGGCTGAGAAAGCTGGGACTGCTCAGCCTGGAGAGGAGAAGGCTGAGGGGAGAACTTATCAGTGCCTGGAAGTATCTGAGGGTGGGTGCAGGAGGAGGGAGGGAGCCAGACTCTGCTCAGGATGAGGGGCAACGGGCACAGGCTGGAACATGGGGAGTGCCATGGAAATACGGGCAGAAACTTCTTTGCTGTGAGGGTGACAAAGCCCTGGGACAGGCTGCCCAGGGAGAGATGGAGTCCCCTTCTCTGGAGATATCTAAGACCCCCCTGGATGCAGCCCTGGGTAAAGAGCTCTAGGGAATCCTGCACTGGGGGAGGAAGCTGGACTGGATGATCTCTAGAAGTCCCTTCCAACTCTGACAGTTCCGTGAGTCCATGAAACCACTGGAGAAATCAGTAACAGAAGTTAGGGATGGTTCTTCTCTTTCTGCTCAACGCTTTTATCTAAATTCTCCCCTTCTAGAGAAGTATTTACTTGGGTGAAAACTGGTCCTAGATTGGCTAAACACCAAGAACTGATTCATTTTGTGAGCCAATTAGGAACAATTAGACAATTTATCCCTTCGGGACAACTTATTCCCCTGACCCTAAAAGACAAAGACTTGCATTTAAATTCAACTAATGACATTACCTGAATTAAAACAGGCAGCATCTTTCTTATCTGTGTGATACTCCAGGTCATGAGTATTCATCTGATTTCACCCTAACAGACCATATCTGGGGTTTTTTTTCCCATGTGCATCGATACAAATTCATGTCAACAGAGCAGGGATTTTTTCAGAGCCTGGACACGCACAAACCTGCCCAGATTTTACACACATCATTAGTCATGTAATTTGTATTCAGGCAGGTATCTTTATGATTTCATCAGCTGCACAAAAGAGCTGAAAATGTGCACAGTACCACCTGGCTTGAGGTGGTTTAGATTTTGTTTCTTGACTACATCAAACTTCCACTGTCAATTAAACCCTCACTAATGATATTTCCTCCTGGTTTAGGTTCTTGGAAAAGTACATCATTATTCATCCCCTATTAGCACTTTTTCTAACAAGGCCAAAGGCATTTCTTTCTTTCAAGCTACTGACTCAAAGACAATGCCTGAAGCCAGACAAAAACAATATACTGAGTTGATTTGAAAACTACCTCTAAGAAACTCTTTGTTCCAGAACAAAACTCAGCCATTTTCCTCGAAATGCTGGTTGCATCAGACTGCAGGAGAAAGGACAAGTTGCTTTCAGGCTCTCTGTTCAAACCTAACCCAAACTTGAGCTACCTGGGCTACTCTCTAAAAACAAAAGTCTGCAACAGGAGTGGATTTATCAAATTGGAGCACAGAACTTTGCTCTCAGAGGCCTAAAATGTTCAATTTTGATCATGACGTAAAAAGCTTCTTTGGGCTCTTGGGAAGAGAAAGTTTGCAAATGTCTTTGAAAAGTACAAATAATGAGTTGCCCAAAACATCACTGACATTGACAGGAAAACACTTGGTGTTTGCCAAGAACCTGTGCAGGGGTAGTCACTGTAAGCTGGGCAACTGCTTGGCTGATCCCAGGTAACTTCTCCCAGCTGCACCATCCCACCTTTCTCTGAAGCACTTGCCTTTATCAAAAATACAACCAAGTTTACCCTGCAATTAATTTTGGAAAGGGTTTCATCAAATCAACTAGTTACAAAGAACTAAACTGTTTATTTTACTGGAACAATTTGCACGAGGATGTGCTCTCTTGTTCCAGATAGAGAAAATTACAGTAATTGCTCCTCCTGCTCTTGTAAAAGTCTGGCCTTGAGGCAGACAATTAACTGGGGAGTTGCACTTTCCCTTTGTTGTTTGTGGTTTGGTCTTTTTTCATTTTCCAACACAGGCTCTTGTGCTGGCTGCTGAGTTCTCCAGAATTGGCCAATTCAGATGAAATGACCTTTTGTAGGAGATTCAGGAGTTTAGGAGGCACATAAAACCTCCTGGTACCTTCCTGGAAACAAACGCATTCCACATCCAACCCCTTTTTTCCCCAAATGTTCTGCCCTTAACTTCAAATACTGCAGCACGTGCTGCCCACCCCTGCCCCAAGTCAGCTTTGGTCAAGATTCACTCAGCCTCAGAAAACACAAAGAAACTATTTTCATCTGCACTGTCTTTCCTCAACAAGCTTTTTGAGCCCTCAACGTAAGGAGGACATGGAGCTTCTGGAGAGAGGCCAGAGGAGGCCATGGAGATGATCCAAGGCTGGAGCAGCTCTGCTCTGGGGACAGGCTGAGAGGGTTGGGGTGTTCAGCCTGGAGAAGAGAAGGCTCCAGGGAGACCTTAGAGCACCTTCCAGTGCCTGAAGGGGCTCCAGGAAAGCTGGGGAGGGACTTGGGACAAGGGCAGGGAGGGATGGGATGAGGGGGATGGATGAAAACTGGGAGAGGGAGATGGAGGTTGGAGATGAGGAAGGAATTCTTTGGTGTGAGGGTGGTGAGAGCCTGGCCCAGGTTGGGCAGGGAAGCTGTGGCTGCCCCATCCCTGGGGGTGTTGAAGGGCAGGTTGGATGGGGCTTGGAGCAGCCTGGGCTGGTGGGAGGTGTCCCTGCCCATGCAGGGGGTGGGACTGGATGAGCTTTCAGGTCCCTTCCCACCCAAACCATCCCATGATTCTATGATTTATAAGCACTGCTAATAAAACATGATGCACCATAAAATAAGTCTAGTCAAGAGGGTTTAGGAATCATCTGGATTTCTTACCACTTTCAGGATTTTCCTGCTCCACTCCTGTCCCCTCTTATTTTTCCCAGCCTTGGTCAAACACCTTCTGCTGTCACACACACAGAACCACCCTCCACCTCACTCAATAGGCAAGAGCTTGCTGTTAACTAAAGCAAAATCACACGTAGTCATGTGAGAAGAGCAGCTGAAAAGCTTTCTAAAGGAGAAATCAAGACCTTGTGGTGAACTGTGTGAGTTTATTTGCTTATCCAGAAGGAGTCTCAACATGTTTGTCATCATGGGATCAGGGTTAGAGACCCGTGATTTCACAGAACCATAGAACTGCACTCATGTCATCTGCAAAACTCCAAGGCAAAGGTTGCACCTTGCAGAGCTGGTCAAGCATGTTGGTACTGGAAAGTGCTGACTGGTGCTGGGGAAAGAAATCCAAAGTGAACTGTTTTGACACTGGGAAGCAGCCAGGTATGTCATCTCCTCTGGATTCCAGACAAACCTCAGGTTAGGTCCCATCATGAGGTGACCAAGTGAAGAAGACATGAGAAAGGAGTGGTGCAAGAGATGAATAATTACACAGCCCCAAAGCATCAGTCTTAGCAGACATGAAATATGGTGTTTAACCAGTTAAGACTGGGCTTGCAGAAATATACATCTGTTTCTCCCTAGGGAACACCAGCAAGAAGTTACCTGGAGTTGAGCAATATGAAACCATTTATCCCCGGAAACTGCACACGGTGCAGAGAAGAGACACAGAAGGACAAAAAGAGGTATTCAAAGAGATTACTCTATTGTTGCTGGGGGATGGGGCTTTTTTGGGCTTTCAAGGGAGAACCTGGAGCCAGATAGTGCAAAATGAAATGCAAGAGAAGGACCTGTCTGCCACCAGTGGGTCCCCTCTACTTGTACCTCTGCAAAGATGGAGGGTTTGATGTCGCTCCACTCAGATTTTTAACAACCTGTGGCTGTTTTACTTAGAAATAACCTAAATCTAATGCTTAAAAGCAAACATGCTCTTCCAGACTTTGAGAGAGTTATAATAACGTTTGGTTTCAAGCACCTGCTTCAGCACTTCCCTGAAAATGCAGGGAATGTGCTTGTGAGTGTAGAAACGCACTTGCAAAAATTAATAACTTCCTCTAATTAAAAAATATGACATAGAGTGACCTCCTGCTTATTCTGTGACTGCCAGGATACTTATTTTTGGTGGGAAGGGAAGCAAAAGGATGCAGTTGGCAGCTGCTGGTGAGGCCAGGAAGTCTTAACAGTCCAGATTCTAACAGCCCCCTCTGTTTGCAGCCCAAATACGACGACACGATGGCGTACGGAATCAAAGCCAACGGAGAGGAAGTCATCCTGCACCTCCAAAAAAATAAGTAGGTTCAGGTCATTCTTCTTTTTCTTCACTGTATGTGGCTCCGTGGGGCATTCAGGACACAAAGAAACAGGGTTTAGGCTCCTGGAAGACAGGAATATTTTGGTAAATACAATTTTTCACATCCATGAGAGGAGAAGAGGGGAAAGAAAGCACGATGACAGTGTTTTGGGGATGTGAAATAACTCCACAGGCATGTGACATTACCATGGTGGAATGATCTGTCTGTACTGCCAAGTCTGTTCTTCCATTTCTTTCCTAAATGGCTAAAGCTACAGAATACTTAGTGTTGTAGTATTTTTGCCCAGGTTTTCTGTGTCCGTGGATAGTCTCTGGGTTATATTTATTTGTTCCATGCTGGTAAAAAGTAGAGAGAAGAACAAGAGAAATATCCATGAAATGGGACTGTGTTGGCTCTAAATGCTTTTTAGAAATGGAAAATAATAACAAGAATCATCCTTCATAATTCAGTCTCCAGAACCCCCTACCTTAACAAGACTGCTGTTGGATTTAGGAGTAGTCTAATAGATCCTGGCTTTGTGGAAATAGAAAGGAGAGCTTGTCTGAGAGCTGAAGATACTCAGCATTTAAAGGGGGGGCAGAGAAGCAGCAGGTTTTGTTACAGAACAAAGGACAGCAAGTCCAAAGCTGTGTAGAGCAACCCAAGGTCCCCCAGGTGTCAGTTCCTGCCTGCTGGCTCCATCCTAACAGTCAACATGGGATCCAACAGGTCTGCTTTCATTGCTGCTCTTCTAGTGGCCATGTCAGCCCAGTGCTACAACAATCAGTTCATGTTAAATATAGGCTAGAATCAAATGTTTGCCTCTGGTTTAATCTAATCTAAATGTTGAGGGGAGGGAGGGAATGACATGGCATGAAATCTCTCTCTAAAAGGCCGTGGGATG